TGACTTTAAGTAATTATGCTAATTCAAAAAATACTGATGACTTACTGGAGACTGATGCTCGGCCATTGGATATAGTGACAAGAAAAGCACGCCAAAGAGGTATTAATAACTTCGTTTATCGCCGAGAATTCTCTTTCTTTCAATGTAGCTCCCAATTTAATTGAACTCTGCAAACAGTTGAGCCGCGATCAGACGGCACTAAACTCGTTGGAAATGTCAGGACTACTGCATGTTATAAGATGATATATGGGCTCGCAAAAACTATTAAGGAAAATATCATTAAAACTTTAAAGGCGACTCCATTTTCTCTAAATTTGGATGAAAGTACTAGCAATGTTCAAGAAAGTATACTGGCAATATTGGTGCAGTTTTCTGACAACAATCAAAATGAAGTTCATTTTGCATCTCTAAAGATGGAATCTTGCAATTCAGAAGCTGTTTTTAAAGCAGTTGTTAATACTATTGAAGATAATAATATTCCATGGGCAAACTTAATTAATGTATTAATGGACTCATGTAACACCATGCGTGGAAAAAAAAAGGGTGTTGAAACCAGACTACGATCAAACAAAGCACCCCACTTATTAGATATTGATGGTGACACATGTCACACAGCTAATAACTGTGCCAAAAAAAATTGCTTCATGTTTTGATAGATACTTAGAAGATTTGTTTGATGACATCTATTTTGATATGAAAAGCTGCAGTAAAAGAGAAAACTTTTTCAAAATCCGTGAATCCCTTGCTATTAAAAAACTTAAGCCCTTGAAGAGACCAGACCATAGGTGGGTGTACATTTTATGTGTTTTAGAAAGAATCAAAGATCTGTGGGATGCTCTTATTGCATTTTATTTTCACTACTTGGATAAAACTGATAAAGGGAATTATTTTTCTTATGTTGAAACTGTATACAATAAAAGAAATATTTCTGCAGCTTAGGAAAAAATTGTTGAAAGGGTGTATTCTTGCTTGCATTCCCAACAACTCACAAAGGATGCTTTAGCTCGGAAAAAAAGAATACTAAATGGGTTATTTGTTATGCAAAACAAAACTTTATTGCATATGGCATTATTTTCAGCAGTATTACCAGAGTTCAACACATATATTAAATTATTTGAAACAATAAAAACCAATGCTTCATTTAATACATTCCAGTATTTATAAATTGATGGCAAAATTTTTCTCTTTTTTTTTATGAAGCCAGAAAATATAGAGTGCACATCTTATAATGATTTATTAAAGGTTGATGTCACAAATCCAGAATTCCATCTACCTAGCAAAGTAATATTTACTGGTGCAGAAGCTTCCACTCTCCTGAAGAAATTATCAAAAAATCATCCAATAGAAAAAGAATTCCAAATTTCTCTGATGAAAGCTTATACTAATACAGCACAGCATATGAAACAGAAATTACCGCTTAAAAATTCATATCTAATTAGTTTTGCAGCATTAGATCCAGAGCTAAGAGATAAAACCAGTACAATATTAGCTTTTGAAAAATTATCATCTTTTATGTCCCATATTTTTAGTGATAATGAAAAGTCAAAAGTAGAAGCTGAAATAAGGTTATACCAGAGTGATATTGATATCACCAAAGAAATGCTCTACACATCTAATGAAAGTGGAAATCAAGTCAAGTGTACAATTGATAAATATTGGTCTAAAGTTTTTAATTTAAAAGATGATTTCACAAATGATTATAAGTATCCTACATTGGCTAAATTGGTCAAAGCCTGCCTTAGCTGCTTCCATGGCTCATTAGTGGAAAGTGCATTCAACTTAATGGATACACTTGTCACTGACTATAGAACCTCTCTTAAGATTAATTCCCTAGATGCAGTGCAGACTATTAAATATGATTTAATGGCTTCTAAAGAAACCTCATGTGAAAAATATGGCTCAAAAAATCCAATGACTGATCCAATTCACAAAGATCTCTTACTGAATATGAACAGAAGTTGGAAAACATATCAAGAGGACTTAAAAACATGTATTTCAGATGAGTCACCTATAAAAGTCTCTGAAAAACCTTCTACATTAGCAGAAAAGCAAACTGCTTCAACCTCTGCATGTGCAGTTCTTAAGGAAATTTCTTCAACTGTAAATGAGGAAAATAAAAGTCAACCTTCCTGCAATTATGAAGTTCACCACAAAAGACAGACAAGCCCACAAACATCAGAAAATAAAAAAAAAAAGCAGCAGAAATTAGATAATTTTTTTTAAAGAATTAATTCAGGTAATTTAAAATATTTACATAAAATGTAGTAGTTATATGTTTGAAAATTTATGGTTATTAATTTTGCAAAAAAAAGTAATTTATTGAACTTTTATAATTAGGTCATTCAATACTTCATAATTGTAATTTTTCATTTCTCTCCCCCCCCCCTTCTCGAAACTCCAAAATGTCGGTAGTAAGTCCGTAAAAGTTTCAGGGGATTTTTTGGGGTTCCACAAACACCCCTGGTTATCGGGCTTTGTGAGGACGATAGTAGAGTTCTTGAGTAGGCTACATGAAGACATTATTGTGAAATGAATATTTAACGTGCTAGGTTAAAATTACTGTTAGCATCGAGAAATTAGTTAAAAATTATTCAATCCATTCTATTAGTGATTTGTAATTTGCTTATATTTGTTTAAATGAATTTTTTTATTATTTAGTAATGTCTGACTTCCATTTTTGTACTGTGCTGAACTATTTTAGCATTTAGTGCTGAATCGTTTTCTATTAACATCATTTATTAGTGTGAGTAGGTATTGTTGCAAATATTGAAAAAATTCCCATTTCAGAGAAAATGTAAATTTGATTATTTCAGTGCACTGGAGAAGTAACTGCATTAAGAGGGTTCGCACGGGTTTTTAATTATGTAACTTTTGGTATGTTTGTTTGGCCACTAGTGGCTGAGATGTAAAGTCTGATATGGGGATATAATCAAGCGAATTAGTTGGCTGCTTGGGTGCTTCCACCGTTTCCCTCATGCGTAACTTGCATGTGAGCCAATTACTCTTAAAAAGACCTCAGCAAAGATATCTTCCCTCTTAGCTCTCTTATGCTTTGCCATAAGTAAAACCATTTTTTATGTATATTTCTTTTAGAACAAAAATGGCACATAAAGAATTTCTTACTATAAAATGGATTTTACATTTTATCTCGAAAACTACCTATTTCAATGTTTATTTAAAAAACTAAAATTTGTTACAGAAACTTAAAGAAAGATGGGTAAGGGCGGCAATTTTAAGTTTTCGCCCCGCCTAGGAAAAATGCTAAATCCGGCACTGACTGGTAGTTCGTTCCGAGGTTCGAATCCCACGAACAGGCTGGCTGCATGGGTGTTTTCGTGGTTTTCCCCATGTGTAACGCGTATACGAGCCAGTTTCTCTTAAAAAGTCCTCCACGAAGGCATCCCTTCTTTAAGGCAAATAGCCCTCAAGTGCTTTGCCGTAATCTAATAAACTAAACCATAAAGCTTAATTGTACAGCATGTGTGAGATCAGAACTATTTGAAGAATTACAAAAGTGAGATGAACATTCAGCCAAAAAATGGAAACTTTTGCTCTTGATTGACAAACTGTATTGCTTACACTAGTGTTGAAAACTTAGAATGAATTAAGATTTTTTCCCCCCAAAATATGCAATTTTGATGCTGCAGCTTATGGACCAGGGCTTGGCCAGGAGTGTGGAGTGGGCTTAGTGAAGCAGCTTGTTTTGAAGAAGTATGGCAATTAAGTAGATTATAATATTTCATTTTTTGATGCAATGCTTGTGCTAGAAAAGTCTTGACCACTTGTTACAAAATTAAGCATTCAAACTTGGTTTTGATATGTTTGTTTGTCTAATAAAGGCTGTTAAAGGGAAGATAGTGAAAGCGTGGATTTCCCTATTGCTAAGTGGTTAGAAAAAATGGCATTCCAGTTTTATGTGATACAGACAACTTTTCCAAATATGCTTTGGCAAGCACATGAACTTTCAAGTACTGAAGATATCAATATCAGTGCAGTATATATATCAAGTATAGGAGTTAAAGTGAAAAATGCTGATGTTCAAGACTCTTTTTCTAATGATAAAAGTGTTGAAGAAAAACAGCATGCAAAAGATGAACTTCCTAACACAGTGGATGCCAACTATGATGTGTGCAATTTTCTTCACTGCCGAACCAAAAGTGATGCATCTTTTTCAATTTTTAAACAAAAATAATCTCTTACACAGTGGATGTCAGAGCTTTGATGTGTGTCATAAGTTTTTATTCACTGTAAAACCAAAAGTGATGCATTTTTTCAGTTTTGGGATAAAAATACAAATAAAGGTTTTCCATAGTCTTTATCATATCGCAAAACGTTAAAGATTATTTTTTTTACTCAGAACTTACAATAAGTTAAAGGTAAAAGTTTTCAATAGTTTTGTCATCAATTTTTTAGTGTTTTCATGTTTTTATAAATGGAATAATTTTTATTTTAGAAGTAGTTGTGTAATTTGATAAGGAACAACTTCTGTGCTCAGTAATTTATTGTGTAAAATAATGGTAAAAAACTGAAAAAGAACATGAAACAAATTCAGTAATTTGATGTAACAAGTCATAATTAAAATTAATATAATTTTTCTAAATTAAAGCTTTCAGCCAATTTTTACATCTTTTTGTGAGATAACCCATTTTTTTTAATTAACTCAGATTTTCAGTTTCTGAAGTTTGTTATAATGGACTTTAATTCTATAATAGTAAAGAATTTTATTTTATCAATGAAATGTGTGGTTTAGACTAGCTCCATACAAATGAAAAAAGCTTTACTTTTCATACATTGCTCAAAAATTCAATTAATTCATTCTTATACATAATAAAAAATTTCATAATTTACAGCTTATAGCTGTATTTATATGTTTCTTTAATGCTGAGTTTTGCTATAAGAAGTAAAATTTTTTCTTGTATTATTAAAAACTTTATAACGCATTTGCATAGATTTGAAGTGCACATTGTTTTTTAAAGTCAATTCTTTAACTTTCTTTACAGAACTATGTATATGATTGACACCTTTGCTTGTGAAATAAAAGATCCATTAATAGTTGCACATTGGGCATGTTTGAATAGTCCTACATTAAGTAGTGTTAAAATAAACATAATGACACATGGATATGAAACAATCTGCAGGTAAAATTTATACTTTTTTTTATATACAATGCTTGTAATAATTGCATTTGTCCAATAATATAAATTTTTTTCATGGTATTACATTAACCCTCTGAGCGTTATGACCGGCTTTATCCGGTCATCAGAAGTTTTGCTATTTTGCATATATAATTTAAGATATTTTGCTTTTTTTAATAATGTAAATATCATCTTAATGTAAATTGATGAAAATACAGGCTAAAATAAGTAATTATACGAATTCAATTAATAAATATTGTTTAAATATTGGTCTTCATAACAAATCTAGAATTCTGTGCCACTCAGAGGGTTAAATACAGGGGTTGGACAAAAATATGGAAACACCTTTAAAAAAACATGTTTCTTTGCTTAATATGCTGTAGGAAACCCGTTGGCATCCAAAACAGCTTGCAGTCTTCTCGGAATGGATTAATACAGTTCCTGTATGTTTGCCAAGGGAATATTATACCATTCTTCCTGCACAACGGTGGCAAGTTCAGATAACGATGTTGGCGGTGGATAACGAGAACGCACTTTCCGTTCCAATGTAGACCACAAAGGTTCGATAATATTCAGGTCTGGTGACTGTGGTGGCCAGGGGAGGTGGGACAACTCATCCTCGTGCTCAGAAAACCAGTCCTGGACAATGTGAGCTGTGTGAACAGGGCTTTGTCGTCTTGGAAGACACCATCACCATCGGGGAACAAAGTTTGTACCATGGAATGAACTTGATCGGCCAAAATGTTCGCATAAGTCTTGGCAGTCATGTGACCTGACACAGTTATCATGGGGCTAGCAGAGAACCACGATATGGCTGCCCAAACCATAACAGAACCCCCGCCATGTTTCACTCTTGGCAACAAGCAGTCTGTATTATAGGCTTGAGATGGCGTTCTCCAGACGTAAACTCGGCCAGAAGTGGGAAACTATGTGAAAGAAGACTCGTCAGACCATATTACTCGCTTCCACTTCTCTATAGTCCAGGCTTTATGACTTAAACACCACCTTTTCCTGTTACGGGCATTAGCATCCCTGATGAGTGGCTTCTCAATTGCAGCACGGCCAGCAATTCCCTGTTTATGAAGCTCCCTTCTAATTGTTTTGGTACTCACAGGGTTCGGTAACACAACATTCATTTCAGCAGTAACTTTTGCAGCTGTGGTCTTCTTATTTTTCGTCACAATTGCCCTTAATGATCGTCTGTCACGATCACTCAGGACACACTTTCGTCCACGCTGTGATTTAGCAGATGATGTTTTTCCGCTTTTCAAATATGCGGAATAAATCTTCGATACAGTACCTCTTGAAACACTAAACACCTCGGCTACCTTGCCTACGGAAGCACCTACCATACGTGCTCCAACAATTTGCCCACGTTCGAAGTCTCTGACATAATGCAATGACAACCTCACATAACAGTACTCTGACAACAACTGAACTGTTTAGCATATTTACGAAGTTGTATAGGTGGCGTCAGTAGTCAAAAACGCCAGCGCCACCTACATATTTCATTAAAATCAATCTTTCTTTTCAAACATGCATTTCACAAGGTGTTTCCATATTTTTGTCCATCCACTGTAAAACTTTATGCACAAATATAGTGGTATGAAAAAAAGACTAGAATAAAATTAGTATATGTAACAGAAAATGTTGTAGAGTCATTATGATTATTTTGAAGCAGGAGGCTTGAAAAATGAGCAATGCCCTCGCCGGGCTCGAACATCCGACCTCTCGAATAATTGCCGAAAATGCTGACCATTATACCACGAAGGCATGCTAAGAAGGCGGGAGAAATACATTATAGAATGCCCCATTTAAAGGGTGACTGGGGATTAGGGGACTCACTTGCCAAATCCTGGTGGTGGAGAATTATCATCCATCACCTTTTTTAGTTCAGGCACCATTGTAGAGACATTAGGTATTTTTTGAAAGCAGGAGAGATGAAAAGGAGCAATGCCCTAGCCGGGACTTTTATCTCAGCCCTCTCGAATACGTGCTGAAAGTGCTAACCATTACACCATGAAGGCATGCTAAAAAGGCGGGAGAAATACCTTATATACTTCCACTTTTTAAGAGTGACTGGGGATTAGGGGACCCAGTCGCTAAATCCTGGTGTTGGAGAATCGTCATCCATAACCTTTTTCTAGTTCGGGCGCCACTGTAGAGACATTAGTTATTTTTTGAAAGCAGGAGAGATGAAAAATGAGTAATGTCCTTGCCGAGACTCGAACCTCTCGAATACACATCAAGCATGCTGACCATTACACCACAAAGGCGGGAGAAATACCTTATAATGTTTGAAATCTTCTTTTTCTTCCCCCCTTTCAAGAGAGTGCAAAATATTTCTATATAATTAGATTTAAAATCTCTATTCAGGAGATAAAAGAAACCATGAAGCACCATTTGTTAGGCATATAATAGATATAAGCATTCCAAACTGCACTTTAAAATTAGGCAGAATTCTACCTTAAAGAGCTGTATTCTATTTTCTTGTAGTTGATAAAGCACACTGCAAATATTAATGCTAATTTTAAGTAGAATTTTATGTAATTCTAATTTTAAGTAGAATTTTATGTAATTAAGTTTTTTCTGCAATTAGATTCATGGCAGGATAGGTGAGCTCCCAGGAAATTGTTTAAGTTTTCTTCATATGTAAAAATAATATCCCATAAATTTGTTACCATTAAAAAAAAAAAAAAAAACTTGCAAAATTAAAAGGTCATATATTTGATATTGTTTACACAAAAAATAATCTTAAAAGAAGGAAATTTTGTTTATTGGGGGGAATCAAATTCTTATTTACCATAGAGGGCAAATTATCATTATTTCATAACTTTTTAGTGGATGATAATATCTGCTACTAAAGATTATAGATAATTAAACCAAATACAAACAATTTCTTTCATGCTATGCTTGGGAAAAAAGCTAAATATGATAGGTTGTTTTAATAACTGTAGCCAATCAAAAAAGTGTTTGATGTTTAGTCCATGGGTGACATTTCATGCAAGCTATTTTTTGTGCTGAGAATTTTTGCAAAGTAAAATACTAGATTATTTCACCATAATAAGCTGATAATTTTTTTAACATAATTTCATTTTAAGGGGGAGATCTTTTAATTATGAATATGAACTCTAATCATCTGAGATTTTTGCTGTGTCCATTAAAGGTTTTTTTAGGGAGGGGGAGGGAAGCATGAATCATTTGAGATGTTGTAAAGTGTTAAAGATTCTTATTAGATTATCCATATAATATTAAGTTGAAAATTTTTTAGGAGTGCTCAGAAATTTTACTGGTTTCATAGCATAAAATGAAGATGTATACTTATTGCTATAAAAATTTGCACACCAAGAAAGAGTTGTCAGAATGAAACAAAATTTTGTCTGTGTGAATGCAGTGTTCATATAAATGATCGCAAAATCAAAGCAAAAGTATCACTTATTGCAGGAAAAAACTACAAATCAGTGGAAATTTTAGTACCTTCTTGGGCAACCTCTAACATGAATCTATGATGCAATACAGATGGGCATGAGGCATACAGATCTCATATGATTTTAGTGTCACCTCATTTCATAATTACTGCATACCTCTAGTTAGACCAAATTCATAGGCTGTCCAACGTGTCATGTCAACTGATCTAAGCCATGTTTCATCAATGATAAATCAGATAGGACAGGGACGGGTCCTTTCCTTAAGGATCAGACAGGGCAGGGAAAAATATAATGTTACACAGGCATTCGTGTGACACCGTTACTGGGCAAGCAATGTTCTATTAAAAATATGCTCCTAGGACCTCAACCATAACCGGCAACACATGTAGCTGAAGGATGTCACAAATGTACCATTGGGCTATTGTGGTGCCATGGATCAATATTAGAGGTAAATATGTGTTGTTTACAACAGTAGCTCACCATCTGTTGGAGCATCTGCAACTCTCCATACACATGATTGCCATCACTGCCTAAATTGAATCTCTATTCACTACTAAGAATGACATGGTTCTGTTCAGTTGCAATTCAATCCTATTGAGCACAAAACCACTTCAAATGGAGGCAATGGTGGGCAGATGTCATTGGCAGCACAGGTAATAATCACTGTGATACCAAATGTTCTTCAGTCAGGAGACTCACGATAGTACTGTCAAACAGTGGCGCCCATACTAAGTCCATATAAGTGCCGCCTGTGTCTAAGTGGCAAGCAATGATCTAGTGTTGTAAATTGGATGATATGATGATCCACTTGGCTGCTAGTGTGCTAAGGGTGTTGTGACCTGGCTGCTGTGTTCATCCATTGGTCCTAACATTTCCTTAATAATAAAGTCAGAATGGGCTTGTTCACCAAGTTGACCACATGCCTTCCATCATCCCAATGATTTTTCACTTCTCAAACTCTGGCAGCTAATCATATTGTCTTTGATAGTTGTATAAACGGCATTTCTAATGGAAAAACGTTTTTCTGCAATAGATTAAATACACACAGAATGCATCTGCATACCTTTTTTAGGTGTCAGAGTGAACGAAGTTGATTGTCCTTTGGTGACATTATGCAATGCAGTGCCATGCTGTATTTCTAACCATATGCATACCTGCTTGACACATACCATCATGCCAAATTTTGTGATCAAACAATTATTCTTGGTGCACAAATTTTTATGACAATAAGTGTATATGTTTATTGGTGATAATAATCTATGACAATATTTCACTTGTTAAAATAAGATAATCGGATAAGTTTCTAATATATGCGTCTAGTACTGCAGCAAAATCACATTACTTCATAAAACCAGTTACTGAACTTGCTTGTTTAAAGAGGGAATCTAAAATAATGACTCTGCATCTTGTGAATCATTTCCACAAAACCTACTTTCAAAATTTGTAACAAATCTATGAAATATTCTAAAAAATTAATAAATTGACTAATCAATTTAGATGAAAGTTTCAATTATAAGTGATCTTAAAATGAAAAAGTGAAGCAATCAGTTTTTAAGATAATAAAAATTATTTGAGCTTTGATTCACTTGCTTTTTAACTCAGTAATAAACATGTTATTACTACTTCATTGCTTGTTACAAATCGCATCGAAGTATGTGAAGAATCTTTAGTTTGAGTTCTGTTATAGGCGCAGCTGTTTTTTCTTTTCCTTTCCTTCCTGTTTTCTTTGAAACAAAAAATAAATAAATAAATAAATAAAATAAAATAAAATAAAAATAAACAAAAAGTCATGTATTCTGTTCTGCTTTATTTTTGCTATACTTAAATTTATTTTCAACTAATAGGATGGTATTTGGCATTAAGATTTTCAAAACACAAATTATTTCAGCATCATGTATATTGAATAAATAATAATTTCACTTAGTTTAGATTTAAAAAATAATTTCTGTCAAGTTTCAAAAAATGCTCTTTATCAGCATTCATAAAAAAGTTATTTTTTGCAAATTTTGATGTTAACCAAGTAGATCAGCATTGCTCAAAAGGCAGGATACTCAGATGATGATGCATACAAGAATAATTTTGATTGCATTTTCTTGTGAGAAGATTTCATCATTTTAAACTTTTTTAACATATTATATATAAGCATGAAATGTTAGGATTAACAAATGAATAAGTTACTTTTATTTATTATTTTTTAAGAAAACTATGAAGAATAAATAATATTTAAAAAAGTGGTTGTCATTGCAAATGATGATTTTTGCCTTCAGTTCTCATACATTAGCCATTCTATTAGCAATGCTTCATATAAATAGTGGAATGTAGATAATGTATATGTCACTTAATGTTTCAATTTTGAATTTCTTCCTCATTTCTGAAGTGTTCTACCTTTACATACATATTCATTAAGATTCTTTAACATTTTACAAACTGATGCTAATACCTTAATGTGAAAAAATAAATGACTCTGTATAAGAATTCTGAATATAAAACATATAAAATTTAAATAAAGTGAAATTTTCAATGCAGGAAATTTTTATCATTTTATATAAGACATTTACAACTGACAAGTTTGAGTTTGAAAAATCTGTATTATAAAGTAAAATCTTAATCTGTAAAATTTAATAAATAAAAATGAGATTTGGCCAAATTATTAATGTATGAAAATTATAATAAAATGGAAAATTGGAATTTCTATAAAAATGCTTTTATGAAAACTAGAAGTATATAATATAACTAGAAGTTTATAATATTAAACTTTATTTAATATTATGAACATAATAAAGTTAGACAGAGATATATGGCAAAAATTTCTTGCAAAGTATGTTACCATTCAATTAATTTTCAATATGTGTAATATTACTAATGTGTATATAATATATTTTTAATATAATTCTCATTGTGTTAGGACTCCACTTGTGATACATGTTGAAGAGAAAAGCCTAAAAGCAATTTGTAGAGATGGACGCACAATGGCATTATCATACGAAGCTCAAGAACTTAGATATCTTCTGATGTGCCAGGTATATCATAAAATTTTATATAAAATTTGTAATAACAGAGCTTATTACTTCTGTTTGTATATTCTAAAGGTGGCCACTAGAATTTCTTAGTTAGACATTTTTTTCAGGACTTCTAATATGAATTTCTGTATGTGAATATTTTCTTCAAACATTATACTCTTAATTTCCAAATTTGTCTCCTTCCATGATTATTGTAATTGTCAACCATTTCTTAACACAAATAAACTGAAGTTGAAATAAGTCATAGTAGTTTTTACACTGTTATATAAAGGTATTTCCTTTGAAGTATTAAAAAAAAGTATGATAGAACATGCACACTGTTGAAAAATTACAATAAAAGTGATAAAAAATATTTTAAAAAAGTGTTAATTTACTATTATTTCTGCATAAAAAGGAATAAGCAATTTTTCCCCACATTACTAACACGAAATCATTTAATTGCTTCATTAAATACAAATTGCAACAAAGACAAAGTCGACAAAGAACATAGTATTTATTTGTTTTTCCCAATATATGAGTTACAGCTACACATTTTTGCAGTGTTATTCGGTAAGCTTCAAGGTATATTATTAATCACTAATATATTTGTTTTCCCTACTGCCTAGTAGCCACTATCTCTTCTAAAAATAGATCACTGCAGTACACAGAACTTATTTTTTATTTATTAGCTTGAAAATTAGCATACAGCACCAACATACATTTTGGAAGATACATAATATAAGAAATAAAGGGAGTACAAATAAGTCTCTGCTGTTTGACAAAAGATGGCACCAGCAGTAAGTTATGGTTAAAATTGTCTGATGTAAAATGTCATATCATAAGATTTGACATCTGCAAACATAACCTTGAAATATTAGCAATTTTATATCAGCATCATATATTTTTCCATTTGAAAATGTTGAGTTTTGAGCCGAATAAGCTTCATTTGTGAGAACTTTTAATTTACTTCTTTAATTTGAAGAAATCTGCAGCTAAGGTGCATCGATTACTTATAGAAGCATATAGTACGACTGCCTTAAGCCAGAGTAGTTGTGAGTGGTTTCAAAAGTTTGAATGGTGAATTTGATGTCAAAGACAAAGAACATAGCAGAAGGCCAAACGTGTACGAAGATGTGAAATTGGAAGCATTATTGGATCCAAACGAAAGTAAAACATGCACTTACATTAAGAATGATTGAACAAACAACTTCACATTGGTTAAAATCAGAAGGAATGATTCCAAAGCAAGAAATTGGGTTCCATATGAACTGAAGCCGAAAAACATTGAACGGTACATTTTACATGTGAAGCTTGCCAGGCATAAACAAAAGGGTTTTTTTGCATAGTCACTGGTGATGGAAAATAGATCCACTATGATGCCCCAAAGAAGTAAAATCATGAGGACCACCTGGTCATGCTTCAACATCGACAGCAAAGAAATCATGGAAAAAAATTGTGTTGTGTATATGGTAGGATGAGCTTAGTGTCATGTATTATGACTTGCTCAAACGAAATGAAACCATTACTAAGGCTCTTTCCCAAACACAACTGATTAGATTGAGACGAGTGCTCAAGGAAAACGCACCCATTACTACTCCAGGTATGACAAAATTATTCTCCTGTGTGATAATGTTCGTCCACATGTCGTGGTGCTCGTCAAAACCTACTTAAAAACATTCAAATGGGAAGTTTTACCCCACCCACTATATTCACCAGACATTGCTCCTTCTGATTGCTACTTGTTCCAATTAATGATGTATGACCTTTCTAAACATTGCTTCACATCACATGAAGATGCCAAAAGTTGGGTTGATTTGTGTATAGTTTCAAAAGATGAACCACTCTTCCAATGCAATATCTATATGCTGCCAGAAAAATAGGAAAAGTTGTAGAAAATATTTTGAATAAAACATAAAGTAACATTCTTTCACAATAAATGCCCAGTTTTTGAATGTTTTTTAAAAAAAGGCCAGACTTATTCTTATACCTATTAAATGCTGGCAGTTAAATGTGTTTTACACTTCGACATCAACACTTTTTATGACTAAAGTCGTGTTTAGTAGGCTTATAGCTATGATTTTTCATATATTGTGCATATATATTTAATTCAATATGAATGTTTTTCATTATATAATTTTGTACAATACTGTATAATTAAGATAGTTTAGTTAATAGAAGTTTTGAATTTTTATGTAATTAGGTGTCACAACATCAAGTAAATGCAGCACAGGCACTTGCCAAGTTAATGGGATGGAAGGTATTGTCAACATGCAATAACTTAGGTGTAGGAGTTGTAGAACCCATAGGAAATGCATCATCTGTATTAATGGCATCTCCAACTGGTGACAGGTATTTTAAAATGATCTTATTCATATTTTTAATCATATGCAGCATATTTCAAATTAAAAATTTTGATACAATACCCTTTAAGTTATATGTTGCTTCAATATTATGTATAAGAAACACAGGAAAGTTCTTTTTGGAGAAACTCCATATTCTTAAAATTGAAGATTTTTCTGAAATAATATATAGATTATTTCCCACAGATGATGCCATAAGTTTTGTAAAAATCACATTAGCACTTTTTTAGTGGGCTCAGGTTTTATTTTTATAATGTTAATTGAATTTATATCACATATTTCATTACCTGTTTCAATTTAGTCACATTAGCACTTTTTTAGTGAGGTCAGATTTTATTTTTATAATGTTAATTGAATTTATATGAGATATTTCATTACTTATTTCAGTTTTGTAGAAATTTTAATTTATGTCTAATCAAAGAAATACTTCTGCATTTTTCTAATTATATATTCATTTGCAAATGACTAAAATTTGCATATCCATTAAATATATATATATTTAAATATTTATGTCAAAAAATTAAACAAAATTTATATATTTAATATAATAAATTTTGTTTAATTTTTTGACAAAAAAAAAAACAGTAACATTTTAAAATATTTATCAGTTGAAAAGGTATAGTAAAAAAAGACAGCACTAAAATGAAGCCCCTAAAGCTGAGGTTTTAGAAGTTATGTCATTGTACTTAGAATAAAAGAATTTATGTAAACGAAAATATGTTTTTTAAGAGTAAACTGCAAATTTTGACAGCATGGAAAATAGAAAATTGATCGTTTGCTGATAAGTTGGATATATATTGGAAGGAAAGGAGTCAAAAAGTACAAATTGAGAGGGCTATTTTATAAATATCCTCAAGAAAATACTTTTAATTCATGGGCCTACCAGCAGCGAGTGGTAAATTTGTTAAATACTGTTAGTTTGAATATTGGCGAAAGGGTTGGCTGCATGGACGTTTTCGCATTTTCTCTCCATGTATAACATGTATACTAGCCAGTTTCGTTTAGAAAGTCCTCCGAATGCATCTCTGCGACAGATAACCTTTCAGTGCTTTGTCATGATCAAATAAACCAAACCACTTACTGATAACAATTTAGGAACTTTGAAATTTCAAGTCTAAAACTGTAATGCTCGAAGGGGTACTGCTAATGATATTAAAATAACTGTAACGTTAGTCAAAGCAAGAAAGATCTCAAACTTTTGGACACTTAAAGCTCTCTTTTATCAACAAATACAGAAGTAATAAAAAGGTAAGTATTTAAAGAAAGAGCATTTGATTACAAGAAATTTTATAATAGAAAAAAGCAACAACTACCTTAAATACCAGAGGAAATGAAATAAACAATTTAAAACCAATATCAAACACAAAAATGTTTCATTTAGGTTCTATATGATTTCAGTTTTTACTTTTCAATCAACCCTTCAACTAACTATTTCACCATTAATGAAATATGGACGTTTAGATAAAAATTAATGCTCTGATTATTATCATGAATGTTTCAGTATTTTATTTCTAGTCCATTAAATCTCTGACTATAATATTACTTTAAACCTATTTCCATAAAACATTTTGATATTATGTTTTTAAAAATCCTAAGATTTATATTCCTTTACAGGGTAATAGCTGTAAGATGTGGGCCGAAAACAGGTGTGCATGTAAGTGTTTCATATTCTCCTCAACAGCCAGACTTCTATCCCAGTACCTTGGTTCGTGACAGAAAGTGGCAAAACTTAGCTGGAAGTTTTAGGGAAGTATTATGGGAAAAAATGGAAGGCAGAAATTTTATGAATAAGTTGGAGCATTTAATGGCTAGTCTAACTCCATGCTGATTTGTATATGTATCATGTATTTAATATTTCATTGTGCATTTTCATGGTAAATAAGTTTGTTTTCCAACATTTTTATTTATATGTTTTAAATAATGTATATTTGAAAATAATAAAATGTAAAAACTTCATATGAACACAAAAGATACATTAAGGAAGTACTGACGATCAGTATAAAAAGAAATTTTATAAGAAAATTAAGGTACGTACATGACTAGTTTATTTGTAATCATGGGAAAAATATATAAAAAACAATAACTAATTACTTCATAAATATATAAAAATTGTAAATAGTTATTTTAAAATGAACTGTAAGAAGATGTCCACTTGTCAATAATTATATGATGTATCACTAGTCGATCTTCTCAGTCCTTTCTTTCCCCAATATTTTCACTCTCTGCCGATACATGTATGTCATCATGAAATACAAAACTAAAAATGAAATAATTGTATGTTATTAATTACTGACTAATGGAATATGTATTGTATTCTTTGAAAATAAAAAAAATTAACCTTAATCAATAAATTAATATGCATGATTCTTTAGAATTAAGAATGCATACATTCTTAGCTTTCTAAAGAAATATTAACTAACATTATATAATAAATATTAATAATAACTTTAAATTATAGTCACATTTTTTTACATACCACATGTAAAATGCACATATAATTGCATTATTTTACAGCTCATCTGTAACCAAGCAAATAATTGCATTGAATACTGGTAATTAGCCCAAAATAAAATTCCCAGGCTGACTAGATGGGAATTTTCGTGGTTTTTCCCTGTGTGTTATGTGAATACAAGCCTATTTTCTTCACCAATTTATTCATGAAAACATTTCTCTCCTTAAACCGAATCTTACAACTCTAGTTCAGTTCATATTATTTTACAAATTAACTCATGAATATTAAAATTTAAGACAGAAAATGTTAGCAAGTTGTCTGTTCCCCCCTTCCCTAGTTATATTTAATATGCTAGCAGAATGCATATGAACTTCAATTTACTATCACACAAACCAAAAATGTTCACTCAGCTTTTCTGAAAATTCAAAAACCGATTCTCTTTTCTATTGCTTATGATCATTAGCATCTAAATTTCAAGCATTATAACTTCACAAACCTATGGCTTGGACGTTGAGAGCTCAATAGAATTGATACTTATAAATATCTTGGTTCTTCAATATAGGTGCTGTAATTCATTGGGAGGCACTGACGAGATCAAAGAGGCATTTTTGGTCAGCAATGATAAGGACATGCTTGAACACTTTTTAAACAAATAGTCAAAACATTTACTTGATTTTATAAACATTACAATCATTCATCTTTGCTAGAATTATTGCTTGGGAAGTCAACTCATATTAGTCAACTTTTCATTACTGTTCCATCCAAACTATATGTACAGTGCCGGGGGGGAAGATGACAATTCTATATCTCACGTTCTACTGGGCCGACTGACAAAATCCAATTTGCATTTTCTATGTCTCAAAAGTACGACTTGGGATATATACTAGATTTATATATAGCATTGTTCTAATATAGGTATTTTGACACAAAATCGGACTTTTTCTGAAATAGCATACCAATTTTTTCTATATTTTGAGGCATAAAAAAAGCGGCTTGAATTTCGTCAGTCGGCCCAGTAGAATGGGAGATATAGAACTGCCCATTTTTTTTACATTGTTCCTTTTATGCATGTGTAAGAAATACATATTATAGCCGCCTATCAATCTTAACTTATAAAAAAATACAATTTCAGTGTCTTTATACTTCATAAAATCATATTTTTATGACTTTAGCTTTTTTTTCCAAATACCAGTCAGTTGACCATTTGGTTATCAGGCTTTCCAATGTTTTTGGACGATGTAATTGAAATGAATTATAGCAGAACACATGTCCAAATGAGTAGCCATCATTGGTTGTAAAGAAGAGCATAAAATGCACGCAAAGGAATCAGCTAGTCAAACTAATGCAAATAAACCTGTAGGCTAATCGAAAGGAGAGTTTCACCACAGCAGAATATTTTGAGAAATCTCGAATCACAGATAGATTCGTGAAAAGAACTTCCTAAGTCTTTGCTTGGGGATGCTGCTACTCATTGCATAATTGCAATGACCTAAAAAGTCTAAGTTAGATTTATCAAGAGCTTTATAAAGTGGATGATATTGTTCTTATTAGGTTTCAGCATGATCAATGCTTTATTCTAGAAAATTAGGTTTTTTATTATCATCGGTTCCACAACTGGAGGAACTGCGCTGAAAAGCAGTGTATTCTTTGCATTTATCATATTGCTATAAAGCAATCATACTGCCACTGCATTACCAATGTGTGTATTTTGTATAGAAAATGGTTTTTGATTTTTAATTCTAGTGTTCATAAATTTGTACATTTATGCATTTGATGCATGTACAGTTCATTTTATAAACAGGATACAAAATTATTATGACATAATGAATACAGTTGTCATACTATTAGACATCTTCTTTGATGTTTTGTTAATGCAGTAAAACTCAATCATTCAAAACTCCAGCTATGTAAAATGAATTCTGTTTTTCATTCACTTACATGGTTTAAGATTTCCATTAATTTATATAACATTAAAGTATAATACAAAAGAGCAGTGGTCTCGAAACTCAAATTGCTCACATGCACAATCTAAAAACACCTGACAGGGCAGAATTAAAAAAAAAAAAAAAAAAAAATGTATCAACAAAATAAAAAAGTATGTTAAATAAATTTTAAATTTCACTTACCAAGTATTTTTCAAAACATTCAAAAACAATAATATCACAAAGGGTAAAAAATTCACTGAAATCTAAAATCTGGTACCTGCAAGACATTTTTGTTGGCTACACTTTGTAACTCAAATATACTGACAGCTAAGTATTACATTTTTAGAGTGATGTTTAAGAAATTAAAATCATTCTAACACGTTTAATTGATAAAAAAAATAACTTACTTTAAGTTAACCTAAAAGGAATTATGAAAACCTTTAACTTTTTAGGGGAAAAAAAAAAAAAAAAAAAATTCTTCCCCCCCCCTTTAATTTTCAACTGTGAAAAGAAGCTGTTCATGTATGAATGCATTCCCAAACAAGAGATTTTTTCCTAATGCAAAAATTCGTAACGGATTATTTTTGACAAGTACGAATAAAAGTTAATAAAATCTGTACTTGCAAATCTTTGAATAAGATTTATATTACACTGCAAATTAGTTAGCTCCATTTATGGATTTTCTGATGCTTTATTCACACTTGTTTTTAATAATAATAATAATGAAAATTCAGATTTCTAATAATTAAAATCTTTAAATGTTTTAACATTGTATTTGCAACAAATTCATAACTGACATGGCTTTGCAAGCTACATAAAGTTGGGAACCACATGCAGTCTGCCAGCATATACCTTTCAAAAAAGATCAAGATACTACTGCAATTTTCAACAACTATGCAGCTTATAAACATTAATGGCAGGAACATTTTGAATCATATGTAGGCCTACTGTTACTCATTTATTCCATCAACTACAGCTTAATTATAAGAAATATTTCATAAAAACAAACTAAATGAATCTGGGGACATTATAGCAACTCTTCACCATGCAAACAATTTTGTCTTGCAACAAATGCCAGTCAGCTGCTTTCTGTTAACAATCAGTTACTTCTATTAAAATATTATTTTTACAAGCTATCAAAGGATAGTGATCAACTTAATCAGTTCCCAAAATGGTCATTTGGTAGGTTTCATGCTTATATATAAATAACAAAATATAATTTTTAGAGATGATGGTGTAAATGCTACATGTAATGCTTTCAACGCATAATTTTTATTGAATGTTTTACTGAATAACACCACCTCGATATACGAGTTCAATTCGTTCCAGCACTGAGCTCGTATAGCGAATTTCTAGTATCTAAAAACAAACTTCCCTGTTAAAAATAACGGAAATCCAGTTAATCCATTCCGCATTCCCAAAAATATCAACGTAAAAAATCAATTCTTCTGATAAATAACACTGGTAAATAATATAACCGAAGTTTACCTTTATGATAGCTTCCAACACGGACCTTAACTGCTTCTCGTTAATCCACACTAACAGATCTTCTAGGAGTTTTGTACGGTGCTTGGAAGTAACAGTAACTTCGGCTGATTTTTGAAATATGGTAACAGGTAGTTTGGCGACATTTTGGAGGCGATAAAGGTTACTACCTAGGACTTTGGAAATAATGTAAGAAGTACTCAGTTCCGATTACGCATTATTTTGTGTGAGGGAAATGAGAGATCATGAGATATGTCATGTGACATTAATGGACGGATCACTGTTCTTTAATCGGAAAAGGAGGTATATTTGTAAAAATATCTGCTGTATTTTATAGCAGTTAGTTTCATTCTGTTCTGTGAAAACAGTGTTGTTTAATATTTGGATCCCATGGCCGTATATAAAGTAAATCCGAAATTTTTATTACGTTTATGTGTAATTGAAAAGAATTGCTTAATTGCGGATAAGTATGAATGTCCAATATGTGGGAATGAAATGAGATTGTGTGAAAGGAAGGATATTACAGATAGTTTGAATGGCGGTGCAAGAAACCTGGTGAAAATGGACATTTTGTGATCCGCCATGCACTCAAGATTCTGTAGAAGATTAGGTAAGTTAGTATTTTTAATTATTTGAGGATATTATTTTTATGCATTGTTCTAAATGTAAGGAGTAAATAAATTAATATGGTATTATTGGAAAATTGTTATTAGCAATGATTTAGTTTAAAGTAATTAGGATTGTAAGCTAATTTTTATTAATTTAATGTATGTGCTTATTTATATTTTAAGTAGTGTTTTTAATTTAATTATATTTTAATTTAATGATCGTGATTTTGAGAGTTATATGTTTGTAATATTTTGGAATACGTTTGTAAGTAAATGTGCATGGAAAGAATTTTAATATTTGACACTAAGTATTTGTAATCCATTTTTAATGTTTGTTATAAATTCGTTGGTGACGTTTATAATAGATAATTTAGAGGTAAAAGTTTTTGGATATTTTATTTATTTATACGTGGAAATGTTCATCCTTGGAAAGGGTATATACTTTTTCGCGATCAGGTAATTTCATATATGTGCTTTTTACCGAGTTTAAAGATTCACAAAATTTTCCTGCATTTTCGTGCAAATTTTTGTAATTTATGAGAAAATAGCAGTGTAGATGGATAATAAAGTCAAGAGTGTGCGCAATGCCATTTTTGTGCAATTCTGGGATGTTTTTTTTAAGTAAAAATAAGTCGACGTGTACATGGTTATGTGTATGTGCGATTTTGAAAAACGCGGCAAGGAGTTTGCGATTCTGCACTTTTTCCCAATTTTGCAGTTAATATTTGTCATGATTAAGCAGTTTTGTTCCATAAAATTTCTAGCATAAGTGTAATTGGGCTAGCAG